CCGTCCTTGCGCTGTGCGCCCCCGCCCGGCGGACAGTGAGCCCCCACCCTCCTTTCTCAGGGCCCGTCCTTGCGCTGTGCGCCCCCGCCCGGCGGACAGTGAGCCCCCACCCTCCTTTCTCAGGGCCCGTCCTTGCGCTGTGCGCCCCCGCCCGGCGGACAGTGAGCCCCCACCCTCCTTTCTCAGGGCCCGTCCTTGCGCTGTGCGCCCCCGCCCGGCGGACAGTGAGCCCCCACCCTCCTTTCTCAGGGTCCGTCCTTGCGCTGTGCGCCCCCGCCCGGCGGACAGTGAGCCCCCACCCTCCTTTCTCAGGGCCCGTCCTTGCGCTGTGCGCCCCCGCCCGGCGGACAGTGAGCCCCCACCCTCCTTTCTCAGGGCCCGTCCTTGTGCTGTGTGCCCCCGCCCTGTGGACAGTGAGCCCCCACCCTCCTTTCTCAGAATGCTTGGCTGCTACAGTTTGGTTCCTGACCCCCTCCACTGACCTCTGCCTCCTCTTTGCCCATCCCTTCTTTCCACCTGGCTCCTGCCTGCGCCTTGTTCGATAGAACATTCTGAAGAGAACACAGCCTGGCTCTGCAGAGGAAGCAGAGGCCACGAAAGCACACCACGCCCTGGAGGAGGTGAGCGGCCGCCATCCCTGCTCGGACCCCCTGATTGTCCTTCAGAGGGAAGTCTGCCCCTGCCCCAGCCCGTGACTCCAGGAGGCACAAGTCCTGGCCAATGCAATCGCTCAGCTGCCTCACTGCACCCACCAAACGTCCAAGCATTCACGCCACTCAGCCACAAGGACACTCCACACCAAGGGACAGTCCCCAGATTACATCTTCCTTTGATGCAGCCAGCAATGTTCTAGCAGGTCTCCACAAAGTAGACCATCATCCTTGCGCTGTCTTTGCTCAGTTCCAGGCCGACAGAATGAGGAGAGCTATCACAGCCAATTTCCAGATTTCTTGCAGGGGACTCAAAGCCAAGACCTCTTAACCAGGTTCTCTTCCTCTCTCCTCTCCCTGCTGAACACATAGCTGATCCGAGACTGCAATAACAATGTCCAGAGGATGCGACGGACGGAGGAGCTGATCTACCTGAGCCAGAAGATTGAGTTTGAGTGCAAAGTAAGTTCGTCCCTCGGGTCCCCATGGGTCACCTTCCAACATAGAACAGTCTTGCTCACAGTATCCCAGCCCCTAAGCTCCTTTCTGCACACCTTCTCTTCTGCCCTATTTCTGGAATACCCACATGCCTACTACCTCTTTTTTTTTTTAATGTAATTAAATGTATTTATTTTTAATTGATGGATAATTGTTTTATAATATTGTGTTAGTTTCTTCCAAATATCAGCATGAATCAGCCATAGGTAAACATATATCCCCTCTCTCTTCATCCTCCGTCCCCATCCCCTGCTTCTAGGTTTTTACAGAGCCCTGGTTTGAGTTTCCTGAATCACACAGTAAACTCAATCTCTATGATATAGTGTTAAGGGGAAAATGGAAGATGCAGCTGTATATGTATTGCAGTATCTTATTTTTACTGAAAAAATAGGATAAAAATCTATATGTATTTGCTTGTATATTCATAAAGAAACTCTGGAAAGATACCTAAGAAATAAAGGACAGTGGTTACTTGATGGGGAGAGAGTGCCTTTGAGACCTGGGCAGTGAGAGAGAACTTATCAGTGTACACCTTTATAAAGATACAATTTTGGTAGTTGAATTATTCAATATTTTAGTCTCTATCTAGTCACCAAGGCAATATAAAATTGAATCCAGATAGAGGGCCAAAATCTGGCATCCAAATCCAGATTTTAAATCGACAGTCCACGTCCAAACTTCAATTCAGAGCAGATACTATCCTTACCTCCCCCGAGGAGAGGGAAAATCCCTCCTCTACATGTTAATCAGTGTCCAGCACCCTTAACATTGTGCAAACTCCAGGCAGACCCCACTGAGCTCTCTGTATTCTCATCCACATCTGTTTCTGACTGCCCCTCTCATGTCTCAGGTTATAATCAAAGAAAGAAGAGACATCAGAAGCACCCTAAACCTTGAACTTCTACGAGACACATCATATACTGGTCTCAGCTCTGGGGCATCGTCCACCCGTCCCAGTCAGATTCTCCCATCTCTTTCTTCAGTTCTAGTGTCTAAAGCTGAGCGTTCTCATGGAGTCACTCTCCTGGGTTGAACCTTAGGGCATCTTCCATTTGCGTGAGCTGGGGACATGGGAGCCAGCCAGCAGTAGTCAGGAGACAGAGGTAGTCAGATGCTCCAGAGAGAAGCAGAGTTTAAGTGGATGGGCTGTGAGCAAGAAGGAAGATGTGAAGGGATCATCGTTGGTGGAGGGATGTCAGAGGAAAAGGCCTGGTGAGGAGGGGCCTGCCTGGGAGAAAGCCTCACGAGTGTCCTGTGTGTGACGCCACCGTCTTTCTCTTCCCTGCTCCGTACAGATATTCCCGCTCATTTCACAGTCACGCTGGCTGGTGAAGAGTGGAGAGCTCACGGCCCTGGAGTTCAGCGTCTCCCAGGCGCTGCGGAGGAAGCTGAACACTCGCCCCGTCCACCTGCACCTCTTCAACGACTGTCTGCTGCTGTCTCGGCCCCGAGAGTCAGTGACTGGAACGGGAGGCCGGAACGCGAGGGGGACGTGGGATGAGGCAAGAGGGAAGGACTAGAGGGGACGGAGAAGGGTCCTGGTCCTGTAGAGGAACCTTCTCAACGGCTCGCCCCATGGAGTCCAGGTCATGACCTGGAGAAGAGGAGAAAAGATCCAAAGCCAAAGAGGAGAATCCCACTGAACTACATCCTGAGATCACCCGGCAGGACCTCGACCCTGTTATAGACAGGGCAAAATGCAGCATGTTAGCCTATATCACGTTTTTGAATGAGTCTATGTTGTCTCTGGACTTGCCTGGTGGCTCGGATGGTTAAAAAATCTTCCTGCAATGCAGGAGACCTGGGTTTGATCCCTGGGTTGGGAAGATCCCCTGGAGGAGGAAATGGCAACCCACTTCAGTATTCTTGCCTGGAAAATCCTCATGGACAGAGGAGCCTGGTGGGCTACAGTCCACAGGGTCGCAAAGAGTTGGACACAACTGAGCAACTAACATACATTCTGGGCTGGGCTCAGCCTTCTAGCCTAGCGATACTTAGCCAGTTCCAGATCCTAACTCTTTGGTCCTTAGAAACTTTATACTGGTTCTGTTTCTTCAACTCGTTAAAGTGGTGAGCATTCATTGCCCTGGATATATGGTTTGCCAAGCCATTGACAGATCCCTTCCAGGGGCACGCTGACACCATCTTATGGTTTTTCATGAGAATTTACAGGCTGAACATGCTAAGGACAGGGATTCTGAATTGTAAAGATAAGCAGATGGATGAAGTCCAACCACCCCAGCATCAAGCTGAAAAGCCTCGTGTTTTGCAGGGGTAGCCGATTCCTGGTATTCGACCATGCTCCCTTCTCTGCCGTCCGTGGGGAAAAGTGTGAGATGAAGCTGCACGGAGCTCACAAAAACCTCTTCCGACTCTTCCTGCGGCAGAACGCCCAGGGCTCCCAGGCTGAGTTCCTCCTCCGCACGGAGACCCAGTGAGATGGGGCTGCTCGGGGGGTTGTGGGGAGGGAGGGAAAACAGCCGGGCAAGGAAGAGGGACCAGGGCAGAAAACAGCTACAGCACCAGTCAGTCCATTCTGGACCAGGGAGCATCCCCAGACCAGCCTGCACCCAAACTCCTAGGGCTGACAGATGACTTTGAGGAGCCTGGGGGTGGGAGGAGGTGTAAAGTCGCTGTTAACACCAAGGCTTAGCATCTGTTATGCTAAGAAGGACAAAGTGTGTAATTGGTTTACTGACATCCATGACTGAATGTGTATGAGCCAGAAATTCCTCAGTGCCCAAGGCTGGAGGGTGTATGCATGAATAAGTCATGAACTGGATAAGCACTGGGTGCCTTTAGCTTTCTTTGCTCCCATCTTCCCACCCGGTTCTCTGTTGAACAGAAATCCACAGTGCTGAGAACTTTGATTGGCTCATCTCTTTAATAATAATAATATTAGTAAAATATATTCACACATGCATACAGTGCAGAGTATTCAAAATAATGTCTAAAAGTCTGGTACACAGTACCTACCATAATGAACAGTTGTATCTATTACAGCTGTTACAGAAGATTTAAAAAACCTCTTCTTTGAAAAGTTTGACCTGACACCTAATGGTCTGAGGGTCCTCACGTTGTAGACACTTTACGGTTTTGTCCCATTGGAAGACACTTCAGGGTAGGATCAGTAATGCCTGCCCTCACTTACAGGACAGAGGGGCTGTACAGGTTGAAAATGTCACCAACATCAGGTCATCAGATACAGACTCACATTCTTTGTCTAGTGCTTTGGGTAGCATCTTCCTGGAACAGTGATAGTGTCAGCTGTCAGTTACTCCAGCGTGGTTGGAGGCAGAGGCTCAGATAATATAAAAACCTTCAGATAATTACAGAATTAGGCTTGGATCATATTGGGTTGGCCAGAAAGTTCATTTGGAGTTTTCTATAACATCTAACAGAAAAACCCAACAATCTTTTTGGCCAACCCAGTATTACATAACCAAAAAAAAAAAAAAAAAATGGTAGATGCAGCTACCTGACCCAGTTATCATTACAGAATAATTTCGTCTCTGAGATATTTGACTGAAGGAAGGTGGGCAGGGTGTCAAAAAGTATGCAGAGTGATACAGAGAATCTCAACTGAGCTGAACATTTCACTCAGTAGACTTCCCCAAATGGAAAATCTATGTGTGCACAATTGACAGTTGACTTTATGCCTCTACTTGAAAGACACAAGATGCCCTTAAGAGGGTAAGCTTGGAAAGAGAAAGGGAAAGATAAATGGTGCAAGACATATGAACATGTAATTCATGATCCGATCAAATTTCCATCCAAGCAGAGTCCCATTGACTTTTGTCCTAGATATCACTGAACTAGACAAGTCTTTCCCATGGTCCCCCCGCTTCCCCACCACCTGCCCCTGTCCTGTACCCCCAGAGCTGCTGCTGAAGCATGACCCCGCTTTGTTTTCTCAGAAGTGAAAAGCTTCGCTGGATCTCAGCCTTGGCCATGCCGAGGGAGGAGTTGGACCTTCTGGAGTGTTATGGTGGGTGAAAGTCCAAGAGGGAGTGTGAAGTGGTCAGAAGTCTGCTTTGGATGCAGCTTAGGAGGGTGGGTGGTACCGAGATGCATCTGCTTAAAACTGCTCATCACCTTGGCAATGCCACCCCTCCATACACTCCTTGCCTTGGGCAGTAGTTCACTCATTTTGAATATTCATCCCTTTAAATCTATCCTGCTACTTGTTTGCCTAAATTTTACCAACTTAAAGGCTTGGGGAAATAGGGGGAGAAAGTCCATGTGGAGTGGAGTTCGGGGGGTAGCAATACAGTAGATTTGTCCTGACCACCACCCCCCTGTACAGGATGACCTGAGACCCTGCCTCTACCCCAGGCTTCTAGGCACCCACAGGCAGTCACAGACACACACATTATAAAGTGTCTGTATTGAGTCTCATAGTCGTCCTCCAGCAAGGACTCTCTAATTTACATCCAGAGAGGAGCTGAACTCAAAGGAACACTGAGCTTTTAGTGACCTAAAAGAACAAATAAGGGCACTTTGGAAAAGGACATAGGAAAACTAGGATATAGATGGAGTTCTGTTCAGCGTGCAATCCATCTGCTGCACTTCACTTTCTCAGAAGAGAAAGAAAGCAAGAAAATTCTTGCTCCATCGCTGTGGTCTTGTGAATGGAGATTCAGACAAGCTAAGTACAGGTAACAGTGCATGGTCTATTTATTCTCTCAGAGAACCAGTGCAGTGTGGTAAAGCATAAAGAGCCACAAACCCATGTAAGATAGAAGTCTGTGGGTCAGGCATACTCTGGGGCTTCTTAATTTTGACTTTCAAAACTTTGGAAATTTCCCCTGGATCACAAAACCACAGAAAATCCAGAATGTCCTTAAGTCATCTTGATCAGCTCAGTAATTTATAGAAAAGGAAACCGAAACGAAAGGGCATTCAGTGCTTAGATTATACCAGGAAGCCCGCTGGATAAGTCTTACTGAGTCCCACAACATGTACCATGGAGAGAAGGAAGAATGAGTCTCAGAGTTTACAATGGAGTTGGAAACTTGGAACAATTAGGTAAAAGATGAATGGTTTGTCGTAGACAGTTTTATAGGAATTCAGAATCCAGTGAGGATGAGAGACATAGGGAAGATTTCAGTGCTTAGCAGAATCTCACTTCTTTGTAACAGTGGTCACTAAAATTGTTTCTCAGTTTATCTTCACTAGAGAGAGAGAATCTTTGATGCATTTCAATGATGGCATTTCTATGTCCTAATCAACCATCTTGGTCCCTGGGAGAAGATGGGGACTTTTCCAATTGTCTCTCTTGTGTGTAACTTTCAAGTTTAAACTCTCTCTCCTCCAAGTCCTCTCAAGCTACCAGCCCTGCAAGTCCTTCATGTTCTAGTGCCTGCCTTTCCTCACCCCTCTCCTGCTCTTCTCTTCCAAGACTCCCCACAAGTGCAGTGCCTTCGAGCCTACAAACCCCGAGAGAATGACGAGTTGGCGCTTGAGAAGGCGGACGTGGTGATGGTGACCCAGCAGAGCAGCGATGGTAAGAGGGGAATCCACAGGGCACAGGCTGGGTATGGAAGGTGGGACGGTGTGGGTGGATGTCCTCGTTTCCTAGGGCTGCTCTAACAAAGCGCCACAAGTTGGGTGGCTTCAATGGGTAGAAATGTATCCTCTCATGGTTCTAAAGGCCAGAAGTCCTTTCTGAACACTCTAGGAAAAGGTCTTTCCTTGCTTCTTCCAGATTTGATGGCCCCAGCTGCCTTGGCATTTGGCAGTATCACTCCAAGCTCTATCTGAATTCTGTGTGTGTGCAGATGTCCACATTTCCTTCTTTTAATAAAGACACCAATTATATTGGGCTTCCCAGGTGGCTTAGTGGTAAAGAATCCACCTGCCAATGCAGGAGACCTGGGTTATCCCTGGGTCGGGAAGATCCCCTGGAGGAGGAAATGGCAACCCACTCCAGTATTCTTGCCTGAAGAATCCTCATGGACAGAGGAACCTGGCAGGCTACAATCCATGAGGTCATAAAAGAGTCGGACACAACTAACAACTAAACAACAACAACCAGTTATACTGAATAAATGGCACACTCCGCTCAGGTATGACCTCATCTTAACCTCACTAATAATACCTGCAACAACTCTGCTCCCAAATAAGACCGCATTCTGAGGCTTTTGCGCTTAGCACTTCAACATATGTTTTGAGGGAATACAGCTCACCCATAAGAGTGGAGAAGGCTCAGAAGTGGGCAGCTACAGACTGTATCAGACCTAGTGCACGGGGAGGCTGAATTCCCCATGCTGGGGACTCTCCAGTTCCTTTAGCCTTCAATTCACAAGTGCGTCCAGGAAGGAGGTCCGGGGGAAATTATTGTGAGTCTTTTCCAGGTAATTCTTCTTCCCACCCACCCTGTGCCCGTAGGCTGGCTGGAGGGCGTGAGACTGTCTGATGGGGAGCGAGGCTGGTTCCCTCTACAACAAGTGGAGTTTATCTCCAACCCAGAGGTCCGCGCGCGGAACCTGAAGGAAGCCCACCGAGTCAAGACTGCCAAGCTACAGCTGGTGGAACAGCAGACCTAGCTGTTTTCTGGGAGGAAACCCCCGAGCTTAAGGATGAAATGTTCCTGGACAGGGCTGGCCCGGAACATGGCGGTGGAGGCCTTCTACACATCAGGAACTAGACCTTCTGAAGCCCAAGAACAACACCCAGCTGCCAGGAGCTAGTCCCAGGCCTCCTCTTTTTTTGTGCTTTGTACTTGGTGCGGGGATTTTGAGGGACTTTGCACTGGACTCTGAGAACCTTTTCTCATAGAAAAAGGGATCCATGGGGCCTAAGCCAAGGAACTTTACTTCTCTTACCCTGCAGCTAAATGCTTTCCGAATGCAGATTCAGAGCTGACCAGAGTTTCCATCATGGCCGTGTGTTAAACAGAATCTGACCCCTGTCCACTGGAGGGAGACGTTTAAGGAGGATGGACAAATCAGATGGGAGGGTTAATTCGGTGACCATTTAAGGTATCTTCCAACCCTGGAGATGACCTGTAATTACAGGGCAAGGTCAGCGCCTGCGTCTCTGGGGTCTGTTGGTGGCTATGTGAGGTGATACGCTCTCACTCTAATAAAGGTGGCACTTCTCTGAGTGTTTTCTCCCCAGACTCCTGAGCACTGAGCGAGGTTCAGAACGTGGGATCCCATGGTTCAGATGTCATGAAAGACCACGATGCTGACTGGGTTATAGCAGTGGCTGCTTCTTTCTTTGACTCTGGAGAGCTTGGGCAATTTTTTTCTGCTTGTTATGGCCTCAGTGTTTGTATCAGGAAATAGCATGAGTTGATGAAAACTCCAAACCTTTTTTTTACTGAACCCACGAGTTAAGGTCTAAGCTAGTTTAGGTGGATTTGGAACTGCTACTCAGGCCCTTCATGAGTTTATATTTTGACTTTAGATACTGTAAAGGTGTCACCACCACTGTTCATCCTCTGTGTGAGAAAGAGCGTGGTGCAGAATCCTAGAGTCCAGGTCATAAGACCTAACTTCCAGTTACTGCCTCACCACGACGCAGCCTGCCTACCTCTTGGTTTCCTTACATGTAAAATGCAGAATTAAGCCACATAACCTCCAGACTCCCATCCAACTCTGTGATGTATGATTCTCTATCTCCCACCAGGCTGCCTTTCTCAGTTGGAGAACATCCCCGCTTACATTTTTTTCTCACATCGAGCCGTCACACAGCAGTGGTACCGTCATCTTTTAAGTGGGCACATCGTGGTCCATCCCTGGACATTCCACGCTCTGCTTTATCTTTGGTGGTCATGGTTTAGCCGCTCAGTCGTGTCCAACGCTTGCGACCCCGTGGGCTGTATCTCCCAGGCTCCTCTGTCCAGGAGATTTCCCAGGCAGGATACTGGGGCGGGTTGCCTCTTGCTTTGTCATGCTTTATCTTTAGAGGGCCTCAGGGTAGAATTGCACTGCAGCTTCGTACAAAGGTAAGAATAATACTATAAATTTGGTCTCATACCCAATTAACTGTGATATGACATGATAGTATCACTTTTGATAACACGTTTGTTTACAGTCCATCCTAAAATGTAAGTTAGCTTACTTAATCTTTAGAAAAGTTATCACTATTAAGTTAATTAAGTTCAGAATAATACTAATTTATCCTGAACAGGCTGACAGTGCTAAAAAAGTCTAAAATAGAGATGACTATAGAGAACTCCGATTGAGATTTTACATCTTTTCATAAAGCTAGCTTTTAAGTATTAATATATGTTAAATGTATGTATTATAAGTAAACTAACAACTGATTCTTCTTAATAGCAATAACAGTAATTTTGATCCAGATCTTTTGTTCACACCAGTATTTGAACACTGGCCATATGACTCAAAGAGAGCCATATCCAACCTTATATTTTCTAGGCAAACTCTCCCTTACTCTCCCAGGGAGATAAAATATCAACTTCTGAATGATATACATGTAAAAAAAAAAAATGTTAAATGACTGCTTCTTTGCTTGAAGTTGCTAAGGTTTTCTGAGCACCTATAAGCTGACTTCTATTAAGGCTGAAAATGTCTTGAGGTATCTAACATATATTTGTTTAATCAGGTTATTCTCACCTAATCTGGGAAATTAAGAGACAACTGGCTTCCACTTGTGTTTAGATCCTTCGTTTTAAAAACAAAAAACAAGCGACAACAACAAAAAAGCTTAGATACGAATAATGTTTCCTGAATTGAATTACTACATTTTTATACTTTGGGTTTCAAAAAATTGGGCACAGTTCTTGTTATTGTCCCTTCCTTCTTCAGATTTTCAGAATTTAACTCAATTTATTCTTTAGTCCTCATTGGCATCAGTGCATTAGAAACTTAGCAATTTCTTATGAGCTACTGTGAAAACAACTATTAACCAACACTTTCTGGACAGACTGCATTTGAGGCGTATGTGACTATAGGCGGTATTTTGTTGGCATTTTTTTGAGGAAAACCTTGCACAGTGTCTTTAGGAGTCCTATTCATTGCTCCTTTGCTGAACTGTAACAAGCTTGGCGCTTAAAATCCTGTAGGTATATGCTGAGTCACTTCCTTTAAATTTCCGTCTGTCAATTTTATCCACTCACATGACTTAGAAAGCTGTTTTGTAAAGGTTATTTTCACCATCAGCTTTTCATTTAGAGTTAACTGTGATGTTATGATTCTTAGCGTTCGGCACTTACGCTGTCACAGTCATTTATAATGACTTTAATAAGATCAGCTTACATGTCAGTGTCTGGAAGGCTCACAGTTGGAGATGTGTTTATTTCCCCTGATTTCATTTTCTCTTAAACAACTTCTATATCCACAACACAAAGTAAAATGGATTTTGGTCCTAGGATGACTGATTTTTTTTTGATGTGGCCCATTTTTTAAAGTCTTTTATTGAACTTGTCACAATATCACTTCTATTTTATGTTTTGGTTTTTTGGGCATGAAGCACGTGGCATCTTAGCTCCCTGACCAGGGATTGAACTTGCACCTCCTGCAGTGGAAGGCAAAATCTTAACCTCTAGACCTCCAGGGAAGTCCCTGTTTTGTTTTTATTAGTCTTTGGGATAGTTGTTTAAAAGTCTTTGAAAATGTAAAGAAATTACATTCCCTGGCTCTCCTTTCACACACATATTTATCCCCCTGAAATAAACCCAGTTTCCTCTTGGACCCCATGTCGATCTACCCATAATTGTCTCTATTTAGTGATGCTCTCCTTATCATAACTTCTGGTTCATGAAGTCAGATTAGAAATGCAGTATTTTGGTGCAGCAGCCATTTATAGACAAAACCGAACCTCACCCACCCACCCAGAGACACATCACTGAGCCCTGGGCGTGTCTGCACTTGGTTTTCCACACCTCTAGGTAAATATCCTCCTGCCGGCGGTGACCTGACCCTCTCACTCACACAGCTCAGTTACCTTAGAGCTGCATCGGCTATAAATATGACTCAGGAGCTGCGTGATTGCAGCGGCTCAGAGCCTGCTGTTTAACGTAATCTCCTGACTCTGAAATCAGGTGTGCCAAGGGGCCAAAGGTTACAAGCAAATGAGCTGAAGGGAGACAGACTCCAGACTTAGTCATGTTTCAGGTAGACTGAAAACATTCACTATCTCTAATGGCTTTAGACCCATTTCTTCCAACCCACTCGTTTCCAATGCCAATTACGGAGTGGAAATTTCTCCAGCCTCTTCCTGGGAAGAGGTGAAGCGCAGCATCCCTTCAGTTGGCAGAATTTCCAGGAAACGGCCGGAGGAAGATCCCTCGGGGCGTGTAGGTAAGTGAAAGAGGGTGTCTCGTCTCTTCTTTCCGGAAGGCTGGGCCCCGGGAACTGGGGAAGCAAAGGGGTTGGGTTGGTGTGAGCTGTAAACTTTTTTTTCCCCCAAGCTGGTAAGGGAGCTGGGAGGGAGTGACTACTGATCCCAGCTGCTTGGTGAATGAGTCACCGCCCTGAGGGCAGAGCCTGCTACAGGGAGGGGCCTGAGTCTGGCCCAGGAGCTCCCCAGAAGCTCCAATGGGCAGACAGATATTTTCCTGGCGTTTTACCTGAGCAGTTACCTCTGAACAATGCCGACTGAGAGCCCGAAGGAGAGCGGGAGCCGCGTTAGTTTGCACTGAAAGACAGGGCGCTTCTGAATCTATCCACAGGCCTCAGGGCCCCAGAACGCCAGGGAGAGTTCAGACTCTGCTGGGGAAAGTGGCTGAGGGCCACAGACCTGGGAAGACCCTGGTCGAGTCTGTAAGAGACCACAAGTCTGGCAAGAGATTCCAGCCATCACAGAGGCAGCCTCGGGAAGAAAAGGAAAATGCCTGGAGGAAAGAGGGCCCTGTGGAAGGGAGGCATCCTGCCAGTTGTAGAGGGTTTTCTTTCTGAGATCCACCGTGGGGGTTGAGAAAATCCCCCACTGTTGGAGTGGAAAGGACCCCAAAGGTCTTTGTGTCTAACCCCCTCCTGGTCACACAGGAGCTTGGGAAAAGGGGACAATTGGCTTAATACCACACAGCCAGAGAGCTGTAAACTGCAAATCCAAACAGCCTGCTGTTTACCTCTCGGGTTTTAGCACGTGATCTGCGGCATTTGTGTGCCTAACAAAGGGTTGAAGGTGACTGTAAAGTGCAAAGGTTGAGTAATGGAAAGGCAGGTAAGTTTCGAAAAAGTGAGAGGAGCGGGCGGTCAGACTCGTGGAATGGGTAATAAACAGGTTTTAGTGACTGGACTAAGCTTGGCCAGGCAACAGACTGGAAAGAAAGATAAGGTGTGGCTTTTGCAGGCATTCATCCTTGCACAGCAGGGCCTTAAGAACTGGAGAGTTTCCTGAGTGCGGTGTGTGTGTCTGTGTGTGTGTGTCTGTGTGTGTGTCCTCAGCTTTAGGGGAGGAAAAGACAGGAGGATCCTTGATAGATGATGGAATGTGTGCAGAGACACTGGACTTCCTCCTTGAAATCAGTGATACTGGCATTAGCAAATAAAAGGGGAAAAAAAGATGAAGGAGGAGTTTTCCAGTTGAAAATCAAAGAAAATGAATGGGTAAATTATTTTTTTTTCAAACATTTGACAATAGTCCTTTAAATAAGTTCTGGGGACACATTTTAGTTCCTGGGTATGAAAATGTACCTGATTTCACTGATTCAAATAATGAAAAGTTATAGGAAATAACAGGGCTTCCCTGGAGGCTTAGTGGTAAAGAACCCATCTACCAGTTCAGGAGGCCCAGAGACCCGAGTTCAATCTCTGTGGGAAAGATCCCCTGGAGGAGGGCATGACAACCCACTCCAGTATCCTTGCCTGGAGAATCCCATGGATGGAGGAGCCTGGTGGGCTACAGTCCATGGGGTCGCAAAGAGTCAGACACGACTGAGTGATTGAGCTTGAGCACCATAGGAAATAAAAGCCAAACCAAACTGAATAATGGACAAGAAGGCAAAATAACAAAGTGGGTGAACTGGAGCTCTTGGGAAGATTCTGCGCTTGTCGATGGTGGTTCGGAGGACTTCTGAATAACAGATTGCACTCTTGGCGGCTGCAGGGACACAGACTGGGACAAGGGTGTCAACATACTGGGCAGAACTGGATGGAAAGGATGATGTAAGCAACAACAGGGTGAGAGATTCCACCCAGGAAGGATGGGTGGAATCTCCGTGGGTGGAAATTCCGTTCTCAGACAATACACTGCACAGGAAGGGATGTACTTAAGGCAACTTGACCAGAGCAATGAGGCTTAGAACCAAAATGTGAAGGTGACACAAAGACACAGAAGCGCGAAGGCTGAGGCAGAAGCCAGCTCCTCTGGAGTTCCATATTTTATGAATCATTCTCCTCTTAGATGCCCGGGCACCGTAACCTGAGGTCAGTTTGACCATCTCTCCCCCCTACCCAAACAGTCAAGTTCTGTTGATTTCTTCCCCGCATCACTCCCACTGATTGCTTCCCTCTCGTTCTCCTTGTTATTGTTTCTCTTTCGTTCAGTCGCCTCCGACTCTTTGTGACCCCATAGACAGAGGAGCCTGGCAGGCTACAGTCCATGGGGATTCTCCAGGCAAGAATACTGGAGTGGTTGCCATGCCCTCCTCCAGGGGATCTTCCCAATCCAGGGATCAAACCCAGGTCTCCCCTACTGCAGGCAGATTCTTTACCAGCTGAGCCACTAGGGAAAGCCCGTTGTTCTCCTACCACTATTTTAATTTCAATACCTCATTCCTGGACACTGGCATGCTGTCCCCACTGATCTATTTACTCCCAGTCTTTTCACCGTCAATCTTTGTGGAAGAGTGCCTTATAGTGATTTCAGGTTTGACTGTATGTATCCTCTTTACCCCTCTGATTAGCTACCAGGTAACAAGTCTGGATCCACCCCAGACATCCAGCCCCACCTCCCTCCTCTCACATGGCCCCTTGTCTACTATTCACTCCCCTCCAGGCCTGTCCCTCTCCAGCTTTGGAATATGAAGCTTCCTCTTCCCTTTTTACAGTGCTTTCTTCTCTATGTCTCAGGACAATGTCCCTCAGTTCAGTTCAGTTCAGTTGCTCAGTCATGTCTGACTCTTTGCGACCCCATGAATTGCAGCATGCCAGGCCTCCCTGTCCATCACCAACTCCCGGAGTTTACTCAAACTCATGCCAATCGAGTCGGTGACGCCATCCAGCCATCTCATCATCTGTCGTCCCCTTCTCCTCCTGCCCCCAATCCCTCCCAGCATCAGGGTCTTTTCCAGTGAGTCAACTCTTCGCATGAGGTGGCCAAAGTACTGGAGTTTCAGCTTCAGCATCAGTCCTTCCAATGAACACCCAGGACTGATCTCCTTTAGGATGGACTGGTTGGATCTCCGTGCAGTCCAAGGGACTCTCAAGAGTCTTCTCCAACACCATAGTTCAAAAGCATCAATTTTTTGGCGCTCAGCTTTCTTCACAGTCCAACTCTCACATCCATATATGACCACTGGAAAAACCATAGCCTTGACTAGACGGACCTTTGTTGGCAAAGTAATATCTCTGCTTTTTAATATGCTACCTAGGTTGGTCATAACTTTCCTTCATAACAATGTCCCTACTTCTTTTTAAATCAGACAGTACTGAGTCGATTACTTAACGTACAGACCAAGGGTCTATGGAGGGATTTGATTCTAAATCTAATCTAGATCACACCCATTGTTTTCTTACACTCACCCCTACCTTTGCCCTC